ACCTTGTTCCAGGTGATGGTGGGCTCGGGCTCGCCCTGCGAGCTGCACGGCAGCTGCACGTTGGAGCCCACCTCCGCCGTCTGGTCGCTGGGGACGCTGCTGAACACCGGGGTGACTGGAAGGAAGGCGCACAGCTGACACCTCGAGCCCCCGCCCTCCCTCCATCAGCGCAGGCCCAGGGCACTGAGCACTCGGCCGGCCACCCGTCTCCTCCTGGGGTGTCTGCACAGAGAGGAGGGGCTGGAGGGACCGAGATGTCCCCACCACGAGCAGACTGCCAGGCTGACGGAGCTCCCGTCTGTCTAAGCCCTGCACCCCAGCCACCGATGAGCGGAAGGCACCCGCGGGTAAGGTTGTGAGGGCCTGGCGGCCTTTCCGGAGTCCTCTCCCAATTTCTCATCCAACAGGCCGCCCAGAGTCCTGGCCGGTCAGGACTGAGTGGGGCAAACCCCGAAACCCAGAGCCAGCCCAGCCTCGGAGAAGCCCAGGCCACATGTCTGCCCCTGCTCCGTCTGCCCTGAGCCTTTCTAGAGACACCAGGCGACCAGGTCCTTCTGAGCACAGAGAACACGGGGACCCTGGCCTGCTCTAGGGGTGCAAACAGGAAACAGAACCGTGACTCCGGGACACGGTCGGGCCACCAGACCCAGCGCCGCCGCAATAACCAGCAAAGGCTGCTCCATCGACCCTGCTTCAGAGTGACACCATCAGCCAGGGGAAGGCCCATCACTGTGACAAGCCGCCCATCAGAGGGCAGTACAGGCGCCGTTGGAAATACCCGTTACCGCAGGCTACAAGGCAAGACTTAACGAGCCGCGTGTGACACAGTCCCCTGGGGGACCCAGGGTCAAGGGTCAGCTGTGCAAATCAGGTAGAGGGGGCTGTGGGTCAGGAGTGACGTGGACGCCGGTGCAGGAGCCTGGCCTCCCGCCGCCTGCTTGCGGCCTTGTCCACGGGTAGGGTCCCCGCCTTGCGGCCACGTCCACGGGTAGGGTCCCCGCCTTGCGGCCACGCCGCCGGGCAGCACCTGCGCCTACCTCGGGGCTGCACGGTCAGCTGGGCCACGACCCTCTGGGAGCCGATGATGTTGACGGCCTGGCACTCGTACTGGCCCTGGTCGTGGAGGGCAACGGCCGAGATGCGGAGCGTCCCCGACGACAGCACCAGGTGCCGCCGGTCCACAGACAGCTGGCTCCCTGCAGGGCGAGGCGCCCGTCAGTCACGGACACGGTGGGGGGCGGGGGGGACACATTAGCTACAGGCAGAGCAGGACTTAGAGAAAATCAAAGGATCGCAGGCACGTCTTGGTCCGATTAGGGCCTGGGGTCATCGTCCGGCCCTCGGTCAGCAATCGGTCCTTCCCCCCAGACACCGACCCGCCTGGGCAGCGTGGAGGCACCGGCTCCGTGCAGCCAGGTCCGGGGCAAACAGAACGCGCTCCCTGCTCCCATGAGGGTCCCCAGAGCGTGGAGCCAGAGACAAGAGCTACGCAGGCAGGAGCCAGGACGGCAGGGGACTCGGGCGGCGTGCACACCATCCTGGGTCCTGGGAAGAGGCTGGTCCCGTGCTGCATGTACCAGGACAGACCTGGGCAGGGGCTGCACCCCCAGCAAGGTCCTCACGCCTCACCTGGGGCTGAGCCTCGCCTGCCCGAGAGCAGGGAGGACCCCGGGAACCCCTGGGAAGGGCCCCTCTGGACGAAGGGATGGATAGAGGTCACCAGCTGGTTCTCCAGGTCACACCCTGGAGTCCAGGACAGGCCCTGAAGGTGCAACAGCACCAGCTCAGCCCTCCCCCACCCCCCCACCTCCCCAGGCGGCTGCCGTCAGGCAAGGAAAGCTCTGCCTCCTCGAGGCACGTGGCGGCCGTCGCCCCTGGGCCAGTGGGAGACCGAGGGCTGGGCCCCACCCAGAGAATCCACGCAACCAACACGCACTACAAGACGGGAAGTGGCAGAACTCGGGGACTAAGCCGAGAGCAAAACTTTAAAAATATATATTCATTCCACTGTGGTTTTCCAGCTCATCTCCCTTGAATTACATTTCATTCAACCCGAATTAGTGTGTATTAAAGGCAAGACCCCCGGGGCCACGTCGGGGTCACCCATCGCTCAGCCCTGCTCAGAGGCCTGGGGCTTGGGGGTCAGAGGAAGACACAGCTGGCTTCGGGTCGGGGTTCCGAGGGGGGAGCTGGTGACGCTGGGGACCAGGTGTGCGCCCTACCTCCTTTCGTCCAGGCGATGACGGGCTGCGGGTACCCCTTGGCCTCGCACTGGAAATCAACAGTCTGACCCTCGATCACAGCTCTGTCCTGCGGGGTCACGGTGAACTGAGGGAGAGCTGCCGGGGCGAGATGGGGCACGCGGTGAGAAGACAGCTTCCCTCAGGAGGCGGCGACGGGGGAGGCCTCCCCTGGGCGGGGCCGCCCTGAGTGACAGGACGCCTGCTGCCGGCAGCCCGGCCTGAGCAGGTCAGGAAGACACTTGGGGTGAAGAGGAGGGAAGCCCAGGGCAGGAGCTGGTCTGTTGTTATTGAAAAAACGTAACCACAGTGTGTCCCGTGTGATTCCACTTTTATAAAAGCATCAGCCACAACGAGGGACGTCGACCACAGGCACCTGCCCAGAGAAGGTGCCAGGAGGAGGTTAGCAAACCTCAGGCTTCCGTGGAGGCGGGGAAAGTGGGCGGAGAGAGGAGCAGGGAAAGGACTCGTTTCTCTCTTATTCCCATTTCTATTTTGTCCTCAGGCTCCACCAAACGCCCCGCTTTGCAATTTACATAAAAACGAACAGACTCGGCCCTGGCCAGTGGTTAGCCCAGGGGCGGGCAAACTTTTTGACTCGAGGGCCACAAGGGGTTCTTAAACTGGACCAGAGGCCGGAACAAAAGCATGGATGGAGTGTCTGGGTGAACTAATATAAATTCGAAGTAAACATCATTACATAAAAGGGTACGGTCTTTTTTTTTTTAGTTTTATTCATTTCAAACGGGCCGGATCCGCCTGCGGGCCGTAGTTTGCCCACGGCTGGGTTAGAGCGTGGGCTTGCACAGCAAAGGTGACAGGTTCGATTCCTGGTCAAGGGCAGGTACCGCGGTGGCAGGTTCCCCGGCCCCGTGGGGGTGTGTGTGGCAGGCAACCATTGATGTGTCTCTCTCACATCAATGTTTCTCTCTCTGTCCCTTCCCCTCCCCTTCCCTTCCTCTCTCTCTAAAATCAATGGATGAGGTAGGGACGGCCCCAGTGAGGTTGAAACGACTCTTTGTAATACTTTAAGAAATAAAAACTATTAAATAAATAAATAAATAAATAAAATCAATGGGAAACAACAGCCTTGGGTGAGGATGAACAACAACAAACACTGATAAACTCAGTGCCGAGTCAGGAGTTTGGGAACACACAGCACACATCTCAACGCCCGGCCGCCTGTGTCCCAGGATCAACCCTGGGACATTCCAAAATGTGCGAGGCCTTCCTGATTAATATGCCTGTGCACATGCGTGCACACATGTGCACACAACCCCACGTGGTCGCCCCCCCCACGTGGTCGCCCCCCCCACGTGGTCGCCCCCCCCACGTGGTCGCCCACG